AGAACACTAAGTAGTGAAGTCGATCATCCCAATTTCCAGTCCTATCCGATCGAATCACTTGAGAAGCCCCAAAGTCGGAGATTAGACATTGATTCTATAGAGTGCGCCAATCCACATCGGAGTAGTGGCATTGGACCCTAAGTATATAATAACTGAAAAAATTTATATTCAACAATTGACACGAAGAGAAGGTCAACAAAGGAGAAGGCAGAAAGTTTTTATTAAATTCAACCGGATGGCATATCACAGTCTCGCTGACGTGGTCATTTTGTGTAACTTGTCTTTACTCACATTAAATATACTATTGTATCACTAGGCTTCATGTGTTCTTCAAAAGCACTACACGTTAAATAGCTTATTCTAATGGTATGAGGAATCTGAATAGACAACCATATAGCTTCCACGTAACATCTTATACATTAGGCAGTCACATCATGACAAATCTACAATTTTAAGGTTAGCTCTACTATTATAATAATACTAACAACGACGTTGGACATAATCCTGCAATGGCATTTGTCCCCAGTATACAATCAACGGTATATCTTTTCCATGCGTGGAGAAACACAGAGATTGAGGAGTAACGGTTATAGCTAATAATCAGAGTATGTCAACACAGTCAAAATAGAAGTCCGAAATAAAGTAGTTCGACGATATATTTGAAGAACTATCGATATATTGGGAAGCGTTTAGTCTAAGCTGGCTAACAGTAGTACGGCGTACTCTTCCATGGCCTGGAGCAGATGCGTAACCCAGCGTCTCCATTTGGGCGTATCCTGTAAAACTAATGAGTTCAGCATCAAATGCCGAAGACTCACAGAACCGTTAATTTAGAGGATTTCTTTACTTCCACACAGTAATTCGTGATGTAAAAACAGCTTCGTATTGCAATGCAGAAGACACTAAAAGTTGTTGAGCGTTCTGGTCACTTACCCAAGCATTCAAACGATTTGACGAAGAGACTTCTAGAATTTTATATTCCACCTATTTAAGACCACACCTAGAGTTCCGTATCCAAGCAGCCAGTTCATGTCTCGTTAAAGATACCGACACACTCATGCATGTTTTGCGTGTGGAAAAATTAAGGAAGCGCCGTTTCAAACTCCCTAAGGATGGGTCTTTTGAACAACCCAACCCTTTCTACTTATCGAATTGTAGCACGTGAAGTGACCTTATATTGATATTACGTATCTTTGGTAACGATTTCGGTGTTAAAATGACTGATTTTTCACTCTTCAGAATTAATCATCTTAGAGGCAAGAGAAAAAAGGTTCAAAAACTACCGTCTCGTAAACTTAGACGACGGTTTCGTTTTTCTCATATAGCAGATAATGACTAAACCGACTTATCCGAACAATGGGTCTCCACCGTATCAGTTAAAATTTCCAAGGAGAAACCAGACCGTTACTAGAAAACAGGCTGCAACGTTTAACATAAGTCCACCAATCTACTATCCTCATTATTGAAGACTGGATGCTGACTATTTTGAGGCAGTTTTCACTCAGGAACCTCCTTTAGACAAAGAACCAGACCAAAATACAAAATCAACAAACCACCTACTCACCGTGGACTTCGATCAGGACGATGTGCTTAAGGCTCTTAGCACCTTAAACATGGAAATGTCAACAGGACCAGAGAAACTTCACCGGAAAATCTTGAGGCATATTGCACAATATATCGCGGCCCCACTGACTATGATATTCAATATGTTACTTGACCAATGTGTGTTACCTATGGACCGGAAGGACGCGATCGTCACTCCCATGCATAAAACAGGACCAGGACAAGTTCAATCGAACTAAAAACCAGTAAGCCTTATCAGTGTTGTAGTTAAAATATTAAAAAGAATAGTCAAACGAACCATAATGGCATTTATGGAAACCAATAACTTGCTAAACACAGAACAACATGGTTTTAGAAAAGGTCTGTCTTGTACAACGAACCTCCTTACGGCAAGCGAATTTTGGATAAATGCTCTAGACAACGGAAACTCAGTGAATATTGCCTACACAGACTTCAGTAAGGCTTTTGACAAGGTGCCAACTAACAGACTGCTATTGAAGTTGAAAAACCTTGGTATTGCTGGACCTCTTTTAAAATGGATTAAGGATTTCCTAGTAGGTCGTAGGCAGAAGGTAAAAATAAATTCCAAGTGCTCCATCTGGAGACCAGTACTTAGTGGAGTACCTCAAGGTTCCATCCTAGGTCCTTAACTTTTTATAATGTTTGTTAATGAACTTCCAAATATAGTACAGTCTCCAGCGTTATTATACGCTGACGATGTAAAGATCTGGAGAGTAACAACTGGAGAGACAGACTCATGTGCTCTTCAGACAGACTTAAATAATATAATCAACTGGTCAAAAGAGTAGCTGATGCCTATAAACACGGCAAAGTGTGTCTACATGCACTTTGGGGACTCAAATGTTGGTAGGTTTAACATGGGGGAAGTGGTCCGGTCTCATAAATGTCTAGTGGTAACAGTGAGTCAGGATCTTAAGACGATGGCCCATTGCCAGAAGGTCGCAGCAAAGGGGTTTCAAACTCTCTGGACATTAAAACGGACATTCACTAAGCTAGATACTGCCATGTTCACCGAAGTAAACACATCCTTAGTGAGGACTAGGCTTGAGAACTGCGTTCAGGCTACAAGCCCCTGTTTAAAAAAGTGAATCGGATATCCGAGAAAAAGTACAGAGGGCAGCTACCCGTGCAATTGAAGAACTCCGAGATTTACCATAAAAAGACTAGTTCAGCTTATCTTATCCGTTTTTATTTATTTTTCCCGTTTTTAGTGTATTTTTACGGTCTTAAGCTTTTGCCAGCATCTATAACACAGTTTACGTCAACACAGTCATGAAAATTCATGCAAACGACCTGGATGCCGTTTAGGTGTAACATCTGGCATGCAGTGCGACAACTGTAAAGGTTGGTTCCATGAAGCGTGTACAGATCTCACGGCAGCTGCTTACAACAGACTCAGCAAGTCGGGTCATAAGTGGGTATGTGTTACATGCAGCACGGATGCTGTAGTTTTGCTGAGTAACATCGTTGTCCTATTGACAGGTTTGCGGAATAACTTGTCAGCAAACTTGGAAAAAGACAGTCATAAAACAGGTAGGTAAACAAGGGCACGTAGCGATAGGCCTACCATCGATGGAGTAAGCATTAGCTCTAATGATGAAATGTTGAAACTCAGCTCCACCACTACGTCGACGGTAATAGACTCCCTCGGTAAACTCGGGTCTCCCAGCTCAGGGTCCTTAAATGAAACAGTGGTTCCCTAGAACTCTGCAGTTGATTGGACCCACGTTAACAGAGCTAAAAAGGACCAGGCGTCACCGTCTATGCTGAACATCCCAAGTGTTGTACGGAAACCAACAGGTGCCTTGATCGCAGTCTACCCCCAAGAATGTTCGGCCGGTCATCAAAAAGCCTAGGATTCAGAAACGTACTTCGTCCTCCAAACAACAAGCTGTTGAACCTGAACGCACCGAAAAACCTTAGAAAACAATAACGGTTCGTGATGACTCTTTAATAATCATGAGCCTCAAAGAAAACCCTGACCTTCCTCTCAGTTTGCAGCACAAAAATGACAGGATGCTCTGGGATGAATTGAACAAAAAGCTTGAACTCCCCTTGGGCTCAGTACTAGTGTAGTGAACAAGAACACTGATGAGGACAATCGAATGTATTTGACGACAAATTACAGAACTAGTTAATAAAATCTAACAACCATATAGTAAATCGCTAATTTGCAAAATATCAATCCATCGTATCAAACTTAACTGTTCCTGTTGCAATCATCAACCGATTGTCTGACATTTCATTGTCCATGAGTTTTCATACAAATTGCATTGTGTTCCCGCTCTTCCTTTCTTGATCTTCTCGCATCTTCTGCTGCCAGACATTACGTGTTTAACTCGCGTCATATACTATTATTATATCAATATATGTAGCGCACACCACACTAGGACCTCTTCTCTTCTTGATCTATATAAATGATCTCTCTCAACAAGTATCGTCAGACTTATTAATTTTTGCCGATGACGTGAAACTTTGGAAAGAGATACGCAACCAAGAGGATATACAGGCACTTCAGCAGGACTCGACTTCAAAGTTGGGCAGTGGACTTACCTTTAAAACTTCAACGTGCAAAGTAGTCCATCTGCGACATGTCGCAGACTACAGTTACGACATAGGAAACTTCTCTCTAGTAGTTTCCCGAGTCGAAAAAGATTTAGAAGCCCTGGTACTCTACGACCTAAAGTCTTACGCTAACTGTGACAGGAATCCCTTTCGAGCAAACCTTGCGCTGGTAACATTGAAGAGCATTTTTGGCCAGTTTGATGGGAGAACTTTCAACATAATCTTCAACAGTTTTATTCGTCCTCATTTAAAGTACGGGAACATAGTATTTCTTCATACACTCCAAAAGGATAAGGACACTCGGGAGCGTATCCAACGGCGAGCCGCTAAATCAGTTCGGGGACTAATATTTAAACCTTATGAATAGTGCCTCCAGTCACTTAACCTATACCCATTAGGGGATAGGCGTTTTAGAGGTGATCTTCTAATGGCTTACAATATCCTTAACACTTCTGGAAATCCTCTCAAACACCTACTTAGGCTTAGTCCTAATACTAACCTAAGGGGTAACACCCAAAAATCGGAGATACAACATAGTAAAACGGACTGTAGGCACAACTTCTACTCCTTAAGAGTTGTCAAATCCTGGAATTCGCTGCCGGCTGAGCTAGTCCAAGCGCTTTCTAAGGAGTCCTTTAAGATGCGACTTGATATATTCTTAAGGACTAAGGATAGTATCTCACTATGATTTACCAACTTTTTTCTCTTATATCATTAATATACTTAGGTTCCTGCCTGGAAGTATCGGTGATCCCCTGTAACTTGACACGGAAGCCTGTTAAGCGAAAGCTTCGTCTATTCCGTCCACAACCATTTGAACCATTTGATCTGAAGATTAAAGCGCGAGGACTGACATTGCGTTACTTTTTAGAAGCATGGCAAATAGTCTTGTTGTTCTGCACATTACTCGCTTACCCAAATATTTTGGACCATCTGAATTGCGTAAATACATTGAGCAATTTGGAAAAGTTCATGAGCTGTATATACCAAAGTCTAAAAAGGTTCGTTTCCCTGTTGCTATCAAACATTTGTACAGACTGGTAAGTGGAAGGACAGTGCTTTCGTTCGAATATCTAATGAAGCTGCTCCCCTCGTAGCCTCGACATTGAACAACTTGCTGCAATTCAATAAAATAATAAAATGTAAGTCATTCCCACATTTAGGTCTAGTGAAATAATAAATACGGTACCTTAGAAGGTATCCAGTTTCTGTGGTGGTCCTTTTCTGAGTTATTTCTCTGATTATTTTCATGATCTGTCATAGTTGTGCCAAACGAAGCTACATTTGTGTTTACAGATAAGAATGTCAAGAAATACTTCACATGGCTTCCCATTGATCAGCGTTTTCCTAGGCTCCATACTTCGAGACAAAGTTTGGTATGACTATAATTTATGGACGACCTTTAATCGATGTTAGATTGACCCTGAGCGTCTATTTAATGACTAGGATCAAATGAGGGTTCTAAATCAGTGTGAGGAATCAGAGGTGTGATTTATAATTATGGTTAAGGTTGGGTATTATATATAGGGCTTTCATCACGTAAAAAATCCGATGTGATCTATCAAGGTTTTGCTGCTTGAATGTTTGTCTGCTTGGTATACCAGTGACTTTTAGTGGGAAGTTTCAACCTTACTTTCTTGCTGCATCGACATATTCGTATGACACTGAATAGAGTGCATCTTGCTTGAGTTCTAATCATATCGTGAGCGATACACTCAAATCATGAATTACGGCTACGAAACTCTTACTACAGCCTGTACACAAGCACCAGTTCCATTTAGATTTGTTATACTTTGACGAAATTATGTTCAATTAAAGTTTTAGGATTGACACCTACCAAAAGCACACAAACAACATAAACCTGTAACCTTAAGGTGACTAGTCATTCAGTGTACTTTAGCAAATAAATAGGGTAGCAAACTGTGTCTCATTACTCCCCACTTGTAAAATATAATCGAGAGTCAAATTTCGTGCTCAGGTTGATAACCAAGTAGTGACCAAGTGTTCTAATCACTGTCTTCTGAGTTTTGCATCGACCGTGTTGGGTCGATGAACAAAGTACCACAACTGTTCCGGGCTATACCTCAAACTACACTGTCTGTTACGATAACGTTTACTGATTCATGAAACAGACATTCAAAGAACGTTTATTAACAGTTTTATTGCAATCTGGGTCTCCATTTATTATTTATTTGAACACAAATATTCAGTCAGCTGCAACGTAGGACCAGGCACGTATATGCATCGGTCCAAGTTGCCATACCGTATTAGCACAACAAGATGAACACCGGATTCATAGAAGTAGTTGATTCAGTGGTGGTAATATATAGAAGAAAGATTGTGTATAAGGAGATAGTACAGGAAGAAATAATTAGTTCCTAGAAAGAAAGATTTGAAGTGATTTTAGTCTCTTAGTTTGAAGGAAGACAGAGTGTATACACCGATCTATTCTGAGCCATGTCACCCCGAGTCTCCAACCTTTGGTTACGATAGTCACGCGGACCCGAACCAGACAGTCTGCATCTACCAACATGGCTCAGACCAGAAGTTAGTGACTTCAAGCACTGATGCCACGTTTTGGTTTGGCCGCCCCTAACTTTCTTCCAATTATCCCCTGCACTAGTCAGCATTGCGCGTCGTGGTAATCGGTGTTCAGGCATACGCAACACGTGGCCCAACCATCTCAGTCGATGAAGATTCATTACCTCATCAACTGATTTACCATCATTCCCTGATACCCTGCGTCTAACCTCACTATTACTTACCCGGTGATCCCAGCAACTGCGAGCAATATTTCTAAGGCACCTGTGGTCAAATACTAGTAACTTACGAATATCTTCTACTCTTAAAGGCCATGTTTCGCAGCCATATAGTAGAACGGAACGAACTGCCGCGCAGTATACTCGTCCCTTAATTGATAGACGGATATCTCGCCTGCGCCATAGATGACGTAAGTTGGCAAAAGCCAAACGAGCTTTTCGAATCCGTGGTGAGATTTCGTCAGACACCAACCCATTAGTGCTGATCAGACTTCCAAGATAAGTGAAGTTGTCAACGCGTTCGATTACTACACCCCCTATCCTTAGTTCAGGTGTTGACGCAGACCAGTCCTGAAGCAACAACTTGCATTTAGAAGGAGAGAAGCGCATCCCAAACATTCTGGCATTGTTGCTCAGTGCTACCAAAAGACTCTGCATTTCATCAGTGTCTTCACCAAACAGGACTATGTCATCTGCGTATTCTAAGTCAATAAGTGGACCTCCTGGTAGGAGATCAGTACCCGAGAAGTCAGTCGATGAGAGCGTTATTTCCATCAGGATTTCTATGATAAAGTTAAACAAAAATGGAGAAAGTGGACAGCCTTGACGGACGCCACTTGAGGTTGCAAAAGCAGATGACAGTTCGCCATAGACTCTGACCCGACTAGTAGTGTTCGAGTAAAGAGCCTTCACAAGGTTTATGTACTTCTGAGGTACGTCTTTCAATGACAGACACTGCCACAGAACCTCTCGGTCAACAGAGTCAAACGCTGCTTTTAAGTCAAGGAATACCACTATTGTCGGACGCCGATAAGTATGCCTGTGTTCTAGAACCTGACGAATGGTGAATATGTGGTCGATACAGCCACGACCAGGTCTGAAGCCAGCCTGATTTTCACGTGTTTGCAGTTCACGAGTCTTAGTTAGGCGTCCGAAAATTATCGAAGCTAGTATTTTAGATACTATATTGGTCAAACTAATCCCTCTGTGGTTGTCACAGGATGATTTTGACCCTTTCTTAAATATTGGGACGATAAGTGATTGTGACCAGTTAGATGGAATAACGTCTAACTCCCAGATTTTAGCTAAAATATTAGTCAACCTAATCGCTAAGACTAGACCACCATCCTTAAAGACCTCTGGGGCCAATCCATCTGAACCAGCTGCCCTTCCTCGTTTCAGATTAGCTATAGCCTTTTGAACTTCAGCTAGAGTTGGGGGACCTACTTCAATGTTCCATTCATACTGTCTGGGAATAGAGGGTAGTTGTAGAGTAGCTGAATGCCAGCTAAACTGCTCCTTAAAGTGTTCCGCCCATCGTTCTAAGCGTCTGGACTAAGAGCAGATGAGAGTGTCGTTTTTTTCCGAAATAGTCTGACTTACACTTTATACTTTGAAGAGAAGAAGAAAAAAAATATGTATATAAAAAAAAGCAATGAACGTGGGGAATTATAAAAAAAAGAAAGAAAAAGGAAGAGAACAATGATGGGGAAAACGGAAAGGTACAATCAGAAGAAATCTTTCAGTTAAGGAAGATACAACCACTTTTTATGAAGAAAGTAAAAGAAGGTTACAGCAGGATCGCCACTGGCTTCTATTCTAAGCCATATCTGATAACGTCTCTAGCCACTGTGTTACACCATCTCTCGGACCCCAGCCAGGGAGTCGTGACGAACCAACAGAAGCTATCCCTTTGCAGCTTTCTTTCATACCACGACACGATGTCATACACTGACCACCTCTCCGCTTTTTTCAACCAGTCCCAGAGTCGGCAAACAATGCACGACGAGGAATTATCTGGGACGACATACGTAGAACATGTCCAAGCCACCGAAGTCAGTGTTTCAAGATGGTGACACCAATTGGATTGTCGTCTTTGTGCCCGAACACACGATGCCGAACCTCTGCATTACTAACATGGTGTTGCCACTGGATGTCAGCACTGCTTCGGAGACAGCGATGATCGAACACAGAGTCGTCTAACATCCTCAACTCGGAGAGGCCAGATTTCACAAGCATAGAGCAAAACTGCTCTCACCGTCGAGTTCTAGATCCGACCTTTTACAGCCAGACCAACATCACGAAGGCGCCAAAAGTGGCCCACATTGGCATAAGCCGCTCTGGCTTTCACTATACGTGCATTGATCTCATCACTTACACCACCACCAGCACTTATGCAGCTACCTAGATACACGAACTTCTCGACCACTTCTATCTGCTCACCGTCCAGGGTGAGTACAGGATTAGAATCCTGCCAGTCTTGTAGGAGTACTTTGCACTTCGAAGGTGCGAAGCACATACCATACCTACGGACATTGATTGCCAACTGATTAAGTGCGGATTGCATGGCTTGGGCATTCTCGCACAGTAAGACAATATCATGCGCATACTCAAGGTCGAGAAGTCTTTCCACACCACCATTACTTACATCCATCAGAGCTGTTTCCAGAATGTCATCGATGGCAAAGTTGAAGAGGAATGGTGAGATTGGGCAACCCTACCTAACTCCACTGCTTGAATGGAACAATGGAGCGAGGTAGTTGTATGCCCTCACTCTGCCTGAGGTGTTTGTGTATAGGGCTTTTGGGATGTTAATAAACTTCTCAGGCACACCCTTCTTCAATAGACAATCCCAGAGAACAGTTCTGTCCAACGAATCGAAGGCAGCCTTGATATCAAGAAACACTACGATTGTTGGCCTTTGATAAGTATGGCGGTGTTCTAACATTTGGCGGAGGGTGAAGATATGGTCAATACATCCTCGACCAGAACGAAACCCAGCCTGCTCCTCACGAGTCAATCTTTGTCGCGTTCTGAACAACCTACGAAGTATGACGGAAGCCAATAGCATGGACGCCATCAAAAGTAGACTTATGCCCCCGATAGTTGTTACAGGAACAACGTGAACTCTTTTTAAAGATAGGGACAACTATCGACTCATTCCATGACGTTGATACACTCTCTAGTTCCCAGACCTTTGTAAACAACGTCGTCAGTCCCTTAGTCAAAACGTCACCACCATCTTTAAAAAGAGCCGGAGGTAAGTCGTCTGGGCCCGGTGATTTTTAGCGTTTCAAGAGTTGGAGTTCGTTGCGGAATTCCGCCTCATTTGGTGGATCAGTCGTCACCGGCCATGGAGGGCAGGACAGTCTGACCGATGTTGCCGGAGCAGCAGGTCAGTTGAACTACCCTTCGAAAAATTCTGCCCATCGTCCAAGACTTCGATGGATGTTAGTGATTGGCGTTACGTCATCCTCGCAGATTGTTTCACTTACACCAGACTTCTTGCTGCCAGTGGCTCGGATGAGTTGGAAGAGCTTCCGGTAATTACCAGATGCAGCTGCTGCTTCCAGCTCATTAGCACGCTCCGACCACCAGGCTTCACGATCCTTACGCAAGCTTTGCCCGATTTCATTACGTAACATCCTTCGTCTGTGGTCAAACTCACGGTCACCCGGAGTAGACCGACGGGCTTCAATCAGTTGCAAGGAACCAGAAGAAACCCAGTGCTTGTAAGCGGGACATTTCGCAAACCCACAACTGACTTGACCCGCCATCTTCATGGCGTCATGCAATTGCAACCAATGCTCATCTATACTTTTCGGTGGAATGGTAGCTAGCCTAGAACCTAGTTCGGTATAATCATCACCACTATTTCGACTGCCAGTTCAGATCCCACTAAGTAAAAAACTAAGATAAATTTTCCCTCAATCGTTTCAGTAATTAGTATCCCATAGAACGTCGCTACATATTAAATTGTTAGTGTACCAAAGTATAATCTGTCTCGTCAAGCCGTATAAGATTTGAAAATGTAAACGTACCATCCTCTCGAGATAAGTCGTCCAACTAAAAACAACTATTTCTCTTGAACTGTAATTTGGTCGTCTTACTATCTTGTTTAATCCGCTACCACCTCTACTACTTTAGGCTTTGTCTTAACAAATTTATCTTGCTGTGCTGATGAGGTATAAGCATTTGAACCGATATGCACATGTACTAGTTTCTACTTTGTCTGACTCATTTCTAAACTCATAACTCTACTAACCACCTACTTCAAAACCTAGGACATTTCGGTACATTGATATTGTCTACTTCACTGCAATCGGTTCCTCTATAGTAGTCCATATATATTAGTCCACTTTATTATCCTGATGTACTTACTTACTTACTTACGCCTGTTACTCCCAATGGAGCATAGGCCACCGACCAGCATTCTCCAACCCACTCTGTCCTGGGCCTTCTTTTCTAGTTCCATCCAGTTCTTGTTCATTTTTCTCATGTCTAGCTCCATTTCCCGGTGTTATGTGTTCTTTGGTCTCCCTCTCCTCCTTCGACCTTGAGGATTACATGTGAGGGCTTGTCTTGTGACGCAGTTCCGTGCTTTCCGCAATGTGTGTCCTATCCACTAACAACGCTTCTTCCTCCACTGGGATCTGATTTGTTCTCTCCACAGTAGGTTGTTGCTAATAGTGTCCGGCCAGCGGATTCGAAGTATTTTGCGTTCTCTGACCACCCTATCAAATGCTTTTTCGTAGTCAATGAAGTTGATGAATTCCATTCAATTGATTGTTCCACAATGATCCGTAGTGTTGTGATTTGGTCTGTATACGATCTATCCTTACGGAATCCTGCCTGTTGGTCTCGAATTTGGGCGTTTACGGAGTCCTTCATCCTGTTTAACAATACCCTGTTGAAGACTTTTCCTGGTATTGAGAGAAGACTGATTCCCCTGTAGTTGTCACAGTTGCTGAGATCGCCTTTCTTTGGTATTTTGACCAGAAGTCCTTCTTTCCAGTCTGTTGGTACTTGTTCCTCATCCCAAATCTTTCTGAAGAGAATGTGGAGTATCCTTGCAGTCACCGCTACGTCTGCTTTCAGTGCCTCTGCTGGAATGTTGTCTGGTCCTGCTGCTTTGCCACACTTGATTTGTCTGATAGCCATGCAGATTTCTTCAATTGTTGGTGGGCCAACATCGATTGGGAGGTCCGTGAGTGCTGCTTCGATGTTGGGTGGGTTCAGTGGGGCTGGTCGATTCAAGAGTTCTTTGAAGTGTTCTACCCACCTGTTTCGTTGTTCTTCAATGTTGGTGATTATCTTGCCTTCCTTGCTTTTCACTGGTCGTTCTGGTTTACGGTGATTTCTGGAGAGTTTCTTTGTCGTGTCATACAGTTGTCTCATGTTTCCTTCTCTCGCAGCCTTTTCCGCCATCAATGCCAAATCTTCGACATATTTACGTTTGTCAGTTCTGATGCTCCTTTTCACTTGCTTGTTTACTTCTGTGTATTCAGCCTGTGCCTTGACTTTTTCTGCTCTTGTTCGGCTGGTATTGATTGCTGCTTTCTTGTTCCTCCTTTCTTGAATCTTATCCAGTGTATCGACCGTGATCCAATCCTTGTAGTGGTGATTCTTTTGGCCCAGAACCTCATGACATGTTGAAGTGATTGCCTCTTTTATCTCTTTCCAGTTGCTCTCCATAGTAGTTCCTTCTCCATTGAGTAGATCATGAAAGGCTTGGAACTTATTGCTGAGGGTTATCTTGAATTTATTGAGTTTGTCAGTATCCCGAAGAAGAGCCGTATTAAAATTTTGTGGTATTGTCCGCCTCGTTGTGCAGTGCCTCTTGAGTTTCAATTTCATCTTGGCGACCAGCAAGTGATGATCTGATGCTATATCAGCTCCTCTCTTTGTTCTCACGTCCTCCTGAACTTTTTGTTAATGCAGATATGGTCGATTTGGTTCTGTGTGCTGTGATCCGGTGAAGTCCGTGTGATTTTGTGGATGCGTTTATGTGGGAATATAGTCCCGCCTATGACCAGTTTATTGAAGACACATAGATTTGCAAATCTCTCACCATTTTCGTTCCTTTCTCCCAGTCCGTGTCGTCTCATGATCTCTTCATATCCGGTGTTGTTCATATCAACCTTGGCATTTAAATCTCCCATCAGAATGGTCAGGTCCTTTGTTGAGCACTTCTCGACGATTGACTGCAGCCTATCGTAGAATTGATCTTTAGCATCTTCATTGTACTCGTTGGTAGGCGCGTAGCATTGGATGACGTTCATTGTAATCCCCGTTTTCTTTGTTTTGAAGGAGGCCTTGATGATCCTTGGTCCATGAGATTCCCATCCTATAAGTGCATTTTGTGCTTGTTTGGACAGCATCAATGCAACTCCTTGTTTATGTGGGGCATTTTCTTGTTCATGTCCGGAGTATAACAGCAGCTCCCCTGAAGCTAGTCGTTGTTGTCCAACTTGCGTCCAATGTGTTTCACTGATCCCAAGCACCTTTAGGTTGTATCTCCTCATTTCTGCAGCAATTTTGAAAACTCTCCCAGTCTCCCACATTGTACGAGCATTCCATGTACCTAAATAAATGGTTGCTCTAGTTGTCAGAAGGGGCATCGGCCTCGTGACTTCTGAGGGAACTCGGCTTTCATCATGAGGCGTCATAACTGTTCTAAACGAAGACCTTCTGACTCCCAGGGCAGAGTTTAAATGGTTTGAATAATTTTTTCTGGTTAGCGTTTTTTTAGCGAGTTAGTTTTCTACGGGATGGGGTCGTTAACCCCATGCCCAACCCTCCTTCTTTATCCGGGTTTGGGATTGGCAGTAGCCCCGGAGGGGCTCCAGGTGGAGTTATTATCCTGATGTAAATACTCACAATTCAACAGAAAGTAAAGATACTTTCTATTATCGTGCATTTGTTACCAGTAGGATAAAAATTCTGCTAGTATACTACCAGACTATATATTGTCTGCTAGTTCAAATAGTATATCCTGCCACATATCTTATAACTCGATGGATAAACATATCACAAAAGTTTGATGTATTAGCTGCTATCAGCAGTACTAATTTGTGTTTCTACTGTACTATGGAAGGTTAGCCATGTAGAAACCGTGTTACTGCTGACCTGCTTCCAAGCAGTGATAACCCTAAATAAAAGCATTCTATTTTATGGAAATTGTCACATCGTTTCATATTACGTAATGACTCAGGTAGAGAGCCATTAAAACGGAATACTGAACACCCACTCCATCCTAGTATAGGACTCAGGTGTGCACCAACGACCTCAACAATGATGAATAGGTGCCTAAACAAAGTCAGTCTGGGATGTGTAATTCTCAACATATCTTAATTTACTACAACAATGAAGATCTACATATGGAATTTGAGTCACATCTATTGTATCATTGATAGCAGCACTACTCAGCAGCCAAAGTCTTTACTAAAGGACAGAAACGTAGCCATGTTTGTGCAAGACAAGTTATTTTACTTTGGATAAACTTTCTTTATACACCATTCTAACATGAACTTCTCAATTCGTTTATTTTTATGAATAGGTGAAGTTTTATCAGACAACAAGCGACTGTTTCGAACAAGCAGATACCTACGAAGTTCAACTCGTGCATCACATGAAGAAAATCAAACCATAGCAACAATAAAGCGTGTTACAGCCCTAAACGCCCGCAAAGGAATGGATTTTACTAATAGTTCAGTAAGAAAATTATTACCCCAAGCTGTCCGAAGGCGTAAACATAACTTCCAGAAACGACTTGCAGCAATTAAAAAGACCAACTTGGATTTCAGATTTCACGAAGCCGACCGCTAACATATCACAAAAATTCTAAATCCAGTAAAAACACTCATTTTTCCAAATGATGTTTACTGTGTAATGTTGACACTAATTACTATAAAAAGGCACTTTAAACCATTTTTATTGAATTCATAAAGAAAGTAGAAGTACAGAAAAAAATTAAGAAATTATAGTGCACAGCCAAATTCTTGACAAATTGCATAGATTTTCCACCTTGAAGAATGAGCACTCTAATATGTGTAGCAAACGCGATAATAGAGGGTTTTCGACCTCCATAAGGAAAAAGAGTTATCGAATTTGAAAACATATGTTCCCGCACCTGGATACAAATGAGATCCACAGCACACTTCCTTTTGAGAGTTTTGTCGTGAAACGGGTATGATCTCATCAACTAGGATATTAGAATTTTCTGGGTTCTCTGTCTTGGTTACTACTGAGTGACTATCTGAAAAAATTAAAACATAATAAATTCTTCTTGTTTCTAAATCATTTTGCTGTTCAAGCGGAATCCCATGACTAAACAATTGAAAGATACTGAAGGGTTTTGGAATAATTCTCAAGTCAAATTAACAATAAGCATTTTTACCATCAACGTTAAATTCATAATTATGTTTTATGTATCCGACAAAAAGTGAAGCAGTTCAGTGCGTCAACCACTTCACTTATCTTGAAAAACTCATCGACCCTGGAGGATTGGTATCCGATGAAATTTCAGAATGGATTTAGATAGCTCAGCTGTTACAAATTCACATCACTTTTGGAGTAGGTGAGAGCGAGTTCACTGTTTAGCACTTCACTTTGTTCGGCTCTATGGATATTAATTATAGTCATTAAGAAAGAAGGATATCTGTAGGTTACAAGTTTGAAGCATTACTTGTATACGTTGGGATTGCTGAGTAAGCAACACTTGAGTTAGACACAAAGTACTAGGTAAGGATGGCAAATCGACTGGTGAAATAGTGGATCTTGGTCCATTGTGGATGCGTACATGTGACAACTTGAATCAATGCACATATATGCCAGGTGATATTTAAATTAATATTGAATTAGCGAATATTGATTTTGTCTTTTAATGGTAGTTTTGAGAAGGCCGAGAGATAATAATTAAAATTCAGTCAATCGACAGGTTTATAGATAATGTTACCCCCTTTCAATACTTACCTTCGGCATTGACTGATGCAATGTGATTGTTTTGTTTCGCTTCAGGATCAGAAAGAGGTTCCGCCCATTCAAAAAACAAACCGAATCCAATGTCGTAGTCATCTGTAGCGAACTCCCAAACTATACTCGTGCCCGATGGGTGTGTTTGAACACGGACCTGGATTAATGTTTTTTTCAAAAATGCAAACGCTTAGAGTATCTGTAAGATAGACTATTACACAAATTTAGCATAAAACCTCGAAGCATATGCTTCACAATGGGCTTACTTCATCAACGTAGTCTGACAGATGTGGTCTGGCCAGATTAGCGTGGCGATATGAAATTAACACGCATGATAAAATAGATCGGAATAATGCAGTAACGGTGATCATAAAAAAGATTGAGGATATGAAAACACAAAGTAAAAATGTATATGCGAAGGAATACTGGAATCTAAAATACAGGTAAAGATGAAGAGTGAGTGCATCTGCTTCATTGTGAATGTTTAGCAATTTCACCCAATCCTCAGCCACTGATCGCGATTATCGCTCAGACCCCAACCAGGTAATCTGCACCCATCAACATGATGAGCAGTCAATGACTCCATTTTAATGCTAATCGCTGCCAAGCACACTATGCATCCCCAAACTCTGTGAAGAATACACCACTTCAACTAAACGAGATAATCAAAATTTAACAAAAACGTGAAAGCTAAAGGGAATCGAAGGATATTTAAATAAACGAAGAAGTGAATTTTGAAGGCAAACAGAATAAGTAGGCACAAACTAGGGTCTACTTACTATATTTGATAGAAATCAACTATCTCGAAATTCCTAAGCCCAGTTCTCATACTTTCGTGGTAGTCTATTCAACTGTACACAGAATGTTCCCATCTCCAAGTTAAGAAATGAGGGGGATTCTCAGTTCACTTTGGGGGGTTATACAAACAAGACATGTGAATGTGAAGCAATTCATGAGTACATCCCAAATATGCATCTCGAAAGGGTTTATAATCTGCTGCAAATCCAGTTCAACAACGACTACGAACAAACCAATTTACTTGTATCCATCGTTAAGTTAGTGTTGGAAGTCAATAATTTTGCTGTTTGAAGACTGAGTGCAGTGGTTATGACGGTACGATTGTTAGTACAGACTGTTTTATTAGCTTCGTAATCCAGACTTATTCAGTAAGCCATTTTCTAAAACGCCAAGATAGTGCCTTCATAATCTCCAAACGTATCTTTAATCAGACAGCTTGGCCAAAAGTATATATGTAAAATATGACTGAGTGGTCAGTGATTTTGTTCCAGTGTACTTTTTTTTCAGTAGATTGGTGCGCAGATAAATTTATCAACAAGGAATTTCTAGGATAATACTTCAAAGTTATTTCACCTGGAGAACTACTGAAGAGAACTAGACGACAGCATACTACTGTTTTACCCCTGTTGAGAACCCGATATTTCAATTGTAACTGCCCATAGTAAAGATGTAATCTAATAAGATTAGATGCAAACTACCTGGCTTGGATCCTCATGATTATTGCGGCCAATGGTTAGAAACATTGAGTGACATGGCTTAGACTTTGTCGCAATGTCGCATATACACGTTCATTCTCTATCTTCTCTTAAACTGAGTTTCTAAATTACCATATAATCCTTATTCCGTGAGTTCATCCTTTGTCGAATCATACTGTTTATACCTAATCTCTACTACTACCACTGACAGAGTCACTACTCTGGTGATGTCTTGATAATTCCACCCCGCTGTGTTGATATAGTGTTACAATTAAAAAGAAATTAAGTTTAACACGTTCTACCTTGTGTATGATTGAATCACAGAGATACACAACATATCTTAAACATTCCCAATGTTTGCAATATTATTACAGCTTACTGAATAAACTTCACCGCTGTTTATTCGAATAACAGACTCTTCATCTTCAGTTAAACACTGTTTAAATTCTTTAACTTCTCCACGAGTCCATAATGTAGGGGCATGTACCACCAAAGATGCATTTAGGTAAGGATCAGTGTCAAGACATTTCTTATCTGAATCAAGATATACATATTGAAAAAAGTTTGTTTAGTAGATCTAATAAACAAAACATAAGATATAAAAATAAAATGAATCATCTCAAATGGAATGAAGTCGACAATATGAACATAAAACCAACCATATTGTTTGAAAAATAATTTTTATTCGCTTAGACGACATACAAGCACAGTGTAATAAACGATTCAGAATAACCACTAACTGATTATTTAATTTGAGGAACTAATGGGACGAAATACGTTTTTGAGGTAAACATTGCCTACTCACTCAAAACGGACATTACACCTAAATTGTCAATCGCCGCCGCTACAAAACTATGGATGGAAACTCGTCACAATATGGATCGCACTTTTTCAGTTAGGAGCTTTACAAAAAACATCCCCAAGTAAAAAATAAACTATACTCAGATAAAAAAAAACACCTTAGTGGTTCATGATAATTAAACAATTGTCTAATTAATTGTAACCTTAATTTGTCTCAAGTCTGTTCAGGGCTATCGAATTTAATCCGTATATTTTGATCAGTCTGATCAAGTGCAGTCCTAACCATCAATGGGAAGATTTAAACAACAAATACAAATGAATCCAAACTTATCAATCCCAGATCAAACAACCGCAGCTGAGTTTAAAAACCAGCACGAATTCAATATCAAGGTTAAGACTTTCAATCTTTAACCGCATACGTGTTTTATACACACCCAAAATAAAGATCTAATCTGCCTCATTGAGTGTGATACCAGAACATGAGGAATCCTATTAAGTCATATAATATGATAACAGGCAATGATGATCATTTGAAATAAAACTCTGTTCAGGTCAGAAACCGATGTATCTCCTTTATATCAGTTATTATTCACTGATTCTGACCAAAAGAGGAAGTGGGACTTGAAGAATTGTGTACTTAAATTACTTGAAGTGTGATATAAACAGTTAATTTGTTTGTCTTAAATATATCCCTATGTAACAATTTTTTCCAACCACCTCAACTATATTTTAATGCTTGAAATATCATTTCATGACCAATGATAATAATCTTAACTGAATACTGACAAGACTTATGGTTCACGAGTATGCAATATTTCTTCTTTTTGAGAAAAAACCTGTTTGCAAGATAGATTTCACTAGTTAACCAAGCAGCACATCAAGACGTCTAATGTAGATATACACAAGCGAATGAGTTTATAACTGAATGTTCTTTTATTTAAACTATACTTTGCAACATGATTCAGAACTGGTCTCAATGACCCAGATGAATTCATTCTTCTAAATCTGAGGTTCTCGTACTTATACTTCATATTCTTCAACTTTACTTGTTATTTCTAATTTGACGTATATTCTGCACGTTTAGTTCCTTTCGTTAGTACTACCATAATGCTAACTTCTTTGTTCTATATTTTATTAAATTACTATCTTGGAACGTCGGCGTAATATGTACTAAGTTCTATACGTTGACTAACATAACTGTATTCCTGCTCAAAGTACATATTTTGCATTTAATCTACTTTTGTATTGTTTGTTTGGATCTTCCCATTGATATTTAGGACTGCAATTGATCAGTCTTTTATTGACATATGTGCATCCTAGGCGGATTGCCTGGATATTCATCTCTACTCATATTTCGTATTGCCCTCGGGGTGTGCATCCTTTTAGATTTAACTTAAAACAAATATCACTGGATGTATTTGACTTTTGAGGCGTATATAGCACCTCTCGTATAGTTAAGTTTGTTTAAGGTTAATTAACCTCTCAATTAGCTTATTTAACAGTGTTTTCCGATCGGTAACAATTTGTCTACGTCTGTATTATCATGTCTGTATAAACATGTATGCTTGATCACATATGAAAGAGTACACACATATCTCTCTCTAGCTTGAATATCGCTCGACGAATCATTCGCTTTCTTATATTTATGCGCTTGAATCTCATTAAATGATTCGACTCTGTATTTGCTTGCTCGCGCGCGCTAGCTTTTCCGCTCAAATTCGCTTGGTGTACACTTGTAGCTTTGGGACCTGTGTTATTTGGTAATAAACTGTAATCGGTACTTCACGTTGCCTTTCGAATTAATACATCGTCGGTATATGTTTAATAACGGTTATCAGGATGATTGATATACGAAGCCTAAGGAATTATCTTGAAGCCAAGCCACTACATGTATAAATGTTACTTTAACGCAGGCTTAATATCTTCCAAATACTTTTAGAGCAATACATACAATAGAAGTTAAAAACGTGAACAATACGAAAAAAAATTAATAGCCAATAAGAGACATAAGTCAGTGGAATAAGATTGTGTTTGTAGCATGGCTACAAGGCTAGCTGATCTGTAATTATAAATTTACTCGCGATGAAATTTATCACCATATTCAAAAAGAAAAGACGAACCTGAAGTATTTGTACAAGACAGGTCGTTAACAGAAACATCAGCGGGTACTGAGGTTTCTTTTTGAATCTCGGGGGAATGTAAAGACGATTCTACCTGCACTGTGTCGTTGAGAACAGATTGATCGTTGGTATTATCCTCCTAGATGTTAAAGGAATACAAGCATACATAAACATTCATATAAGTGTGCGTAGACCTGAACAAAAAGATTTCCAACGATCCCGATCAATATGACGAAAAAGAGTTAGAAATAAGATTTATTACTTAAGTGTAAAAAAAACTATAATAAGCATACGAAGGCGATCAACCACATACAATATACAGAATCTCGATAAGTTATTTGTATCCCGCTTACTATTAATGAATCATAGTGAATCATGTTGATTTCGATTGGTTTTTATCAACATAATGCAAAATAATTGACAAGTACATGGGATATTTAAATTATAATACCATAAGCAAATGGCATTCTTCTTTCACACTATAAATTTGTGCAATATGATGTTCTTTTCGTTAAGTTGTCAGCACCTGAAATCATTAGATTATGTTAAAGATTAATTTTAAAACGGTCTGACTGGAACTACACCTTACAAAATTAAGTTAATTATTGGTCACTTAGAAAACAGAACCTAACAGTAGTAAACTTATAAGCAATCTGCCTTGTACAATAACTGTACACCGTAAACTGTACATTGGAAGTAAACAAAATTAAATGCAGAAGAAAGTTGTTATGACAAACATAAAATATTAAACGACTAGCATATACGACACTACCGGTATGCTACACAAACTTCCAACAAAAAGAGTATCACACAATTTCAGAATATACTCATTGATTCGCTAAACTCACAAAACTAACAACGAAAAAGACTCAAAATACTTGCAAAGTTAATTGAAACTTTGACGAACAATTATACAGTGAGAATAGTCTAGATATTTAGAGAAGAGTTTACGGTGACCTAGATAACTAGTCATTAACGGAGCGAGTTTCACGGGACCACATCCAACTTCTGCACATGGCTTTGAGACAAAGGTTTAGAAATATTGTGACGGATTTATGACATATTTAGAAGAAAAATTAGCTTCGCGTAGCACTTATTAAGTAGGTAAAAATCCAACAGTGATATCCACAAGTGAATTAAGTCAAAAGTTAAGAAAGACTAATGGATTCCAGTGGCACCTACTGAACTGAGAGACTCCAAGAAACTCAGCCCATCAGACTCCAAACACGATGAAGAGCGAAGGCACTCATCATGAATAGTAGTGGCAAATGTAAAAGAAATGGAAAAGACAGCGGTGATAGGTAAAAATTAAATTTTAGGCTTCTGAGAGAAACGAATATTAAAAAATAGACTATAGCGAAACCATATCCGTAAAAAATGAGAACATGATCGGCGCTCGATCAAGATGGATAGAGTGATGAATGGGACACCGAGGAACAGTGTAATTAGCCTTCAGCTAGGTTTCAATTGCCACCTATTACCAAGCAACCTGAATAAGATGTCAACATAAACCGAGATCTATAAGAATGGTGGTTTAGCTTTAACTGTTGGACTGAGATAGTAGCTAATCAATGCACTATTACCTATGTGCAATATTTATCCGGGAAGTAATCGGCACAATGAGTAAATTTTTGAACATGGAACGACTAAAATATCAATATATGTAATTCCCATTGCAACTAGTAAAAACAACCTGAAGAGATAGGTTAGGCTTTTTTGTGTATTTCTATGGCTTGTGATATAGTTTAGAGTCGGATTCTAAAACCATACAGTAAATTCGGTGGGATTTATAAATAACTTTAGACGTTTTATTTACGTGGTAACCAGTATCGGCTGGATGTGTAAGGATAGAGATTCTTATTACTTTCTTTTGTCCTTTGGTTATTCATAAAGGATGATGTTCAGAAATACGATAATGCATTTGTCAAGTTGTGCGCCCAATGTAACTAGTTCCGCAATAGCAGTTGAAATTATAAATACACATTGAGGCACAGGAACTGGGCAATTTATCCTTTCAATATCTCAATGGGAATATCTAATGAATTAAAGAGATATGTACGAAAACTTAGTACTTCATGCTGGATAGATCAGAAACAAAGTTCAGATAGTAACTGAATAATAGTGGAGGATTCACTCCACTTCTGACCATTTAAGTTCCAGGCTTAAACACAGCCCAAACAACTTAGCTCTGAATAACCCCAGTTACCCTAAGCTACCATATAAAAGGTGTAGCTCGATACTGAATATAGAAACCTGCATATGATTACTGAGTTGTACTAAAATAATTTCAACTTAATTAACTTCAAACGGTATGACTAAGTATGAGTTTACTGGCTGAAATCTCGTAAACATACAAGAAACTAAAGTTTTCAATAAAAATGACTCAAAAATCAATGGTAACAGCACATACACATACATGCGCTTCTTAACTTGAAGAAATAAAAACTCTGAAGAAAATTTTCTTTTTGACGAACTTAAGTTGTTGTGGTCGGTATTTTTTAACTGTTGTAAGTCTATTTATTCTATCGTATATATATATTTTTAATTTGTTCTATTATTACGGAAAGTAGACTAGTGAGCACCAATACAACTTACGTTGGGAGAGATTGTTTCTGAACAATTTACACCGTCAATTGAATTTACATTAGTGACTGAATAATCTTCAACTGAATCATTCATTGTCGATATATCGGTTGTCTGAGATGAAGATTCAATCTGTGATCGCTGAATAAAGCGATATTGACGTTGTATGTATGCCATATATTCGTGAAAATGCCGATCTTGCAACTGTGCAATAAGTTCAGCTCTCTGTATATTACAATAAAAATGAAAGGTGTAAATATAATGGGCATTTGTTTACCCAAAACAATGACTAAACCTCATAAATAAAATCATTGTTTTTTTATAAGATGTAAAAAAACTTATTAGCAGTAAAACCTTTTAATGAATCGGCTAGCATGTTCAGTATAAGAGTGATTTGGTAGATGCAGACTACTTGGTTGGGGTCCGCGTGACTATCGTAACCAATGGTTGGAGACTTGGGGTGACATGATTTAGAATTAAACACAATGGCGTCGGTGTATACACTCTTTGTCTTCCCTCGAACTATGAGATTAAAATCGCTTCATATCTTTGTTTCTATGAACTAATTCTTTCTTCCTGTACTATGTCGTTATATGAAATCTTTTTTTTATATATTACCACCATTGAATTAACTACTTCTATAATTCGGTGTTCATCTTGTTGTGCTAATGAGGTATGGCAACTTGGACCGGTGCATATATGTGCCTGGTCCTACGTTGTAGCTGACTGACTGATTTGAATATGCTGGCTGGTCCCTTCCCAAATAATCAGATTTGGAGGACAATAACATATCAGACGTTTCCCACATAATTATTACATAAACACGTGGAATTTTTCCCTGAAATATATCGTGTGTCCAGATGATTTTTATCTTCGATGGAATCGAGTAAATTGCATTAATCGAAGAATATAGACAGGGTAGAACGTGACAAAATCGCTTGCTATAATGGAGCGAATAATGTGAGAGCAATAACTTTCGACTCTATATGATGAATTATTATTTATATTTTTATGATTATTTGTAAGAATATCGTTTGACAGAAATTGGGCGCCGAGTATAGAGAAGAAACTATTTGAGAAAATTATACTTTTAATAAATAACAGGAGTATTAATCTCATCACAGAGAAGGAAGACTAACAAGTTGAATTGAATGGAATTTCGTTTACACTTGGGGCCAACGATCACCCCAAGTTTTTAAAGATTATTAGAAACGAAGGAACTAAATTGATGTATACCGAAAGATCACATTGGCCATCCTATGCCGTAGAGAAACATCCGGAAAAATTAAGGGGATTTTAAACAAATATAACATAAGTGTATTTTCGGGCTAGTGACGCCATAAGATCAGCATTAGTGAAAGTTAAAAGTATGTTTCCAAAGGCAGAACAAAAGAATGCTGTCCATAAGATCAAACGTCATGATTTTAATGCAGCACATGTGGGCGAAACTTCTAGAAAATTGAATGCGAGTAGGCAATGATGGATAGTGGCTAGCAGTGGAATCAAGGACGCGCGTTTCGTCCTGTTTGGGACTCGTCAGCTGGATGTACCTGCATCTCAGAGTTAATGTTCACCCTGCGACTCAAACGCCATCGCGTTATCCACTCAGCCAGTCCCGATAGCCACTTGCTTGTTCAATGGGGAGAATTTAAATTCATTTGGTATTGTTTGGCTTGTATCTTCCACTGCTAGCCACTATCCACCATCGCTTACACTACAAAAAGCTTGTGAATTAAGGCAATATCGAGGCATACGTACAGTATGCACATATGCCAATAACAGACTGATCAATTGCAGTCTTAAACCTCAATGGGAATATACAAGCCAAACAATACCAAGTGAATTGAATGTGAGATTGAAGGAACACAAATAATGTGTGAAAAATGTTCCCAAATTCTTGTTTGATCTTAAGAAACTTGAGAATAGGTCGGAGATAGCGTTACATGCGTTAAAAATAGAGCATAAGATCAATTCTGAAGGGACCAAAATATCTCGGAAAGGTTTTGGCACACATGAAGAAAAATTGACAGCAGAAGCGCTGTGTATATGGGCTAATAAGGACAGCCTGAACAGAGCGGATGGTATTCAACTAGCTACCACATGGCAAATATTGATTGACAAGTAGTTGGATCCTATCTCTACAACCTGTTCATTTCACATGCAACATTATTCTGACAGAAATTAATTGGAACATTTTAGCATTACAATTATGTATTTGATGGTTTTGGTTTTACATGCACATTGATGGTTCAAAAACAACTTCAACTTGCACTTTTATTTTTGCTTCATATAAAAACAAATTAACACCGAATATCAGCTATTAATAACTAAAACTTACATGTACATACACACACAATTCATTCATCCATCTATCTTTTACACTGTGAACTTTTCACATGA